CCTCGAAGGAACTTCCCTCTTCGGTATTGTTTTTTGAGATGTAAAGATAGTCCTCTTGGATTCCGCTTGCTTCTATTCCGGAGCTCTCAGATCCTTCCACTTCACCACTTCCTTCTCTTTCAAGATTTCTGGATTTTGCACTGATTCCACTGCCCTCTAGGTCATCAATGCTGATTTTGAGTTCTGAGTTTTTATTAGCAAGGCCACTTCCTTCTATTTCAACGCCTTCGCCAACCCCAGATGCCTCTACGATATCTACAGACTGAAATGGAAATTATTAAAACTAAGGCAGTACCATAAAGAAAGCAGGCACTTCCTCCACGTAGGAGTTAGATGGCGTGCTACGTTGCGGCGTTCGTCCAATAAGAGAAGACCGCTACGCAGCCGCACAACTAGTCTTTTCACAGCTTCATTTTCCACAAAGTTTTAAGAACTTTTTAAAAAACTGTTTCTTTTGAGAGTTTAATTGGGGGACAAACTATAATAAACTGAATCTGTACCTCTTCTTCATTATTTTTCAGCTCGTTCCCACTTCCAGATACATCCAGCTCAGACGCTCTCATGTTGTCCTCTGGCGCTAGTGGACTAACGATTGGAAGGACTGGATTATCGATTGGAGAAATTGGTTGGAAAAGAAAAGGCAGCTCCAGGAATGGGTTGCTGATAAGAATAGGTTCACCGAGAGGATCTGGTAAAGATACTCCAACGCGCCTCTGAAAAATAAAATAAAATTAAATAAATTGAATCGTAAAGAGTTTAGGCACATTTTTATCCGTATACATCCGTTTAATCTCCTGATCTAACTCCGGATCGATCCGGAAACTATTGCGCCCTGCGGTAGATGTCAAAAAACTGCATGAACGAGGTAGCAAACCACTAAGGAATGAGGTCAGTTGGGTAGCTGATGGAAAAACTTCTTCTTTTCCTGATAGAGGTCGAGTAAGCATCTCCTAAACCTCTCTATAAATCTCTGAGGTAAATTAACCAGGTTAGGTGATTTTTACGAGTAAAATTGAGCCAGCAGTGCCTTCACAGAGCATGTTGTATTTGAGGCGAGTACAGCTCATCACGCATTCGGCTATTCTAAAAGTTGGTTATATTAGTATTGGTTAAAGGGATATTGAGGGCAAT